ATCTTCGTGTCGCTGCCCTTATAGCCCTAGACTTCCATAAAAACGACCGCGCTCTACATGCCAACAACTGCATAGTAGCCCTGCAGAACTAGTTGTATCCGCCTATTAAAAGTAAGGCTACAGGGACAGACTGGAAAATGTTCGGTCTCCTGCCCCCTGCATACACTCACCATTAGCATCCAGGGAACCCTAGATGCTATATCCCCTCAACAAAACCCTGAGGGAAAGCAAGCTCAGGTCCACTCTTTCAGCCCAGTTCTCGTCTACCCCGGAATGTGAACCTCCAAGTTCCATGAATGCTATGATCTGGCCATGGTTCGCTGGAAGGTGCGGAAATGCTGATAGTTACCTTGCTGAAGAAAGTCAGGGTTTAGGGCTACTTGTACGGGCTTAAACCATTGGAATAAAGTACGAAGTTACGTGAGGACCACAGGGGCATAATACTGGTATGCAATTATTCAGGTTTTTACAGCGCAGAGTCCTGAGCCTAGCGTCTAGGGCCAGAGTTTTAGGTTTGGGGACAGTGGTCCGGCAAACTTCAAGGTAACGGTTTAAAGCTTGGCCGCCCTTGCCCTAAAGTTGAGGCAAATGGGCCATCGGCGGTGGATACATGTTGCACCTGATCAGAGCCATGTATCTTTAAGGGGACAAGACGGGGCGAGCCCACACCAACCGAACCCTTTAGCCCAGAGGCACCCCTACTTCATCTTCCATCCGAGCTGCAATTGTATCCTTGTTCCACCCGGCTGGAGAATGTTACCTGTCCTGTTGCCAGAATGATTCCATGCTCTGCGCGCGTTCACATGGAAAGGCAAGCTTTTAATGACAACAAACGCATGAAACAGCAGCCAAGGTTCTGCGGTATTCGCTGGACAGAAAAAGGTCCGGCTCCTACAGGTTCGCACTTCGCTTATGCAGGAGTCTCCAAATTTTGCACGCGTTGGACTGGCTGCTCGGCGAACAACATCCCACAAAGTCTGCCACAGAGCCACTCACGCTCGCCGCCCTACAGCGTTGCTGGTGCCTCACTCGGCTGCTCCGAATCACGTGCATTCACGAACAGCCTGGCAGCAGTGAGGAGCTCAGGTGGCACAAAAGAGCACCAATCCCATCTCATGAGGCAACTTCATTGTCAACAGCAATGAGACAATAAATGAGGCAGGCCAAGAGGCTCGACTCGCTCGGCGTTCTTCGTCGCGCTGAGCCTGGATGTCGGGGTGAGGTCTTACTGCAGTCGGCGCAGTTGGACTTCCAAAGCTGCACCCAAGCGTTTACAAATCGCCTGATCGTGATGCGGTTTGGATCATTCTGCGGATTGTAGTCCACGCCTCGGAATCTGCCAACAAGCAACCGCTAGCTCTCGTGCAACACCCAAGCGACGGTAGACTTGCTGCCAGGATGCTTGTAATCCGCCCTTTGCCTCCGATCAACTGCAAATCTTTGGCGAACCGCGACATAAACAATCGTGGGTGAGTCCAGAAGTTCAATCGAGCGTTGTGGGCTGGTCTCAAATAATTGCTCTTTTGTGGGGTACCCTGTAACGCACGTACAATTGCAAAACAATTGAGCACAGCGTTGGGAAATTGATTTTTGATTTTTCTCTGGCGGGGACTTGCCCAGAATAACCCACCCAAAACAGTGGTCAGACCCGACAGGTGCTGTAGTCGGAAACCTTTTGTAGCAACGTAACTAACGACAATCAAACTCCAAATTTCTCAATAATCCTATACAACCCATGAATGCTCCCAAAAAGGATCTGAGCCTTCAACCCTATACCCTCATTATCCTCGAAGTCCGAAACCCTTAACAGTGAATCCTAAACCTGAGACCTCATGCTTGTTTTAAATTTGCAGAAATCTGGCATGTAGCTGGCAACATCCAATTTCTCCGGCAGCCTCCCAGGTGGGCAGCCACGGAGGAACCTGTAGGATCTAAGGCTTAGGTTTGGGGATTTACGGTTGAGTGTCGAATGTAAGTTTTCAAACGTCAGGGTTTAGGATCTAAGCTTGTGTTCAGAGGGTGGAGGGTTTCTCGAACGCACGGGCTGTAGGGTTCAGGATTCAGGGTTTACAGTCTGAGATTGTTCATGCCTGTTCATCCCAATATAACCATCTTCGCAAAAAATCCCACATTCGTTTGCGAAGCTGGCGTGGAAGTTGTGCAGGCTTCTGACGTCTCAAGGCATTAATTGAGAAAACACAACATCGGATTACGTTAACATGTATGACCCGGTCACGACCTTAGATAAACGTAGAGCTGGAAAATTGACCATAGAGCTTGAGGTGAGGCGCAGAGCGCTTAAGATTTTACTACACCTGCTTGGAGGCTAAATAGACAGATCGGATTGATGTTGGGCGTAGAGGGTCGAGCCTTGAGGTAAATGGGTCGTTATTCAGGGTTTCAGTGAACATTTCAGGTTGTGAATGGCTCCAATGATTTAGGGACTCTTTAGGGCGCCAACTGATGAAGCCAAAAACCTGCCGCTAAAATGGCCCAGCAGCGCAGGTTGTACGGCAGGTCCTCCACAACTGCGCCTGAAGTTTTCAAGCGTTCTAGATCTCCGGATCCCGTTCACCTGCCATTATGGGGGAATTCTATATCCTGTCATTCTGGCAGGATTGGTTCTGCTGATTGACAGGGACTGGCCTTGCTGGTTGACAAAACTCATGTTATACCTCAGCTCCGGTAAGGTGACAGAAAAGCCTAACCCACACAAAGCTGACACAGCTCAATCAACAGCATCCTGCGCGGAGGCACTGCACACGACCTTGGAGGCAAGCTGCTCAAGAGGTGACTTGCCAACATCTGCGAAATCGATGATCGAGCACTTCCTCGCCACAATGCACGATCCGGACACTGCGTAGTTGCACTAGTTAACAGCATTTATGACATGTGCATGGGCTACTGAGGGCTGCCCAAGCTTCTTGAATCCGGGGACGTCGTCCTGGCCAGTTTTGTCCGGCAATGATGCAAGTCAGTCCAAAAAAAAGACTTGGATGCCCACATTCTCTGCTGCACCGTGCCTGTCGCATGACCTGCGCTCGCGGCAAGGTTGGAAATTCGAAGCCTGACTGGCCGTGGACAGAAGCTCCGGTCTGCTTAGGCGACTTGGCTTCTGACGACTGAACGCGGTCCGAGAGACCAGCAAAAGAAGAGGTTGCATGCCAGCTGCCTTCTAACCAGCTGGGATACACCTCCAGATTTCGAGGTCACCAAACATTGCTACATTGCTGCTGCGGACTGTTCATCTTGGAATGCTATCTGGCGCTTAGCACGGAATGAAGGAGTGGATTCCTGTATTCCCAGAATGTCCCATACTTTACCCCACTCCCCCAAATCCTGACAACGCACCAGGTAGAGTGGTGGGAGTGTGGGATTGGCATAACACGTGCTGACACGCACAAGTCCTCAAGGTACCCTCTCAAGGTTCAGGAGTACATGGCATCAATTGGGCTAAAAACAGCTGGAGACGTGCATTTCCATTTGGACTTGGGATGCTACTTGTACAGTGCATAATCTCCAAGTATCCTGCCTGCTGCTTTGGCGGAATGTTGAAGATTGGCGAAGTCAGCTCCCGGGCATTCCTGGCTGACTGGCACCGCCCACCATGCATACTAGCACACCCGGCATAAATTGGGTATTGTTCGATTGCTGTGTCCCCCCCGGCTTGAGTTTGCAAGAATGCTGCACTCGTTGCGATAAAAAGCCCCCAAGTGTGCCTCTTCGCTAGGAGCTCCCTCAAAGCAGCTTCCGCTGGAAGAGGCGCCAAGGCGGCCACCGGCGCTACACCTGAGAGGACTCCACCATATGAAGCTTTCTAGAGCTGTCCTAGAACATAGGCCCCAATTCGCCTCATTCTTGGCCCTGTTACTAGAGCTTCAATGGCAAAACTCCCGCGTGTAAGGAGAATCACGCCGAGACTTCTTCAGGCTTCCCGTCAATTCTGATTTCTGCTGCCGAGGCACGGAGGATGGACGACCTCACAAAGCAATAATGGGCCAAAATTCGTGGTAGTGGCTACTACATAGACAACTAACACAATGGAGAATTAGATGAAAAACAATTTTGAAAATGAACCGGAAGTTGTGGATATGGCGGAGGGCTTTTTTTTCGTGGGTGTGGCTCGTTTTTTTTTCCTAGGTGTGGCTCATC